ACGGGCTCAGTTATTTCGGTGTGCATCCCAGCCGACTCCGCAAGGCTTCACTCTGAGATGCAAACTGTTACATAAATTATCTGTTGCTGCGATGCCCTTGCCCTTGTTTGTAGGTTACTTGTGACCAGGATTTGAATGAATGGCAAAGTTTATCTCAGACAACCAGAAGGAAGAAAACAGTCATTCCAATGTACAGTTTTCATGTAAAAGTGGTCACAAAGCTGAATTTTAAAAGCTCCTTTTTTAAGTAACAGTGAGAAAAGGCCTTAGCAAGAGGAATACATTTCTTGTCAACTTTCAGTGTCTAGTGCTAATATTCTGCAGAAATCGAGGGAATATCACTAGATAATTCAGATGCTGCAAAAGCAAGAAAGGCAGCCATTTTTAAACTGTTGCTGTAATTTTTTTAGCTCTTGACCAAGTAAAACAAGACTTTTCTGCTTTTGCTTTGAGAAGCAGCTGTACAGTATGTGCCAATTTGTATGTACATTAAGAAACAAAACCTTTTGAAAACATTGGAATTGCTTGATGAACATATTTTCAAAACATATTTTGTAAACAACATGAATCTAAAAAGCTACTAATGTAAGTGTTTTATATACAGTGGATATATATTTTTTATATAAGTATTTTTCCTAAAACTGATCCATTTGTTTTTCACTTAAATACTGTTGGTTACAAGATCTTATCAAAGGTGAAAAAAAAGGTCTGACATGACTTGTCTTGATTTCAGCCTTTACATCAACACAACTGAAATTTCAATAAGGGCGTGTTGACTTTTGATATCCACTGTACATGGTTTATCGGATAGTGTGATCATATTTTTTAAAAATAATATTTTCCCACCCTGAATTCTCATATTGCGTAAATCCTCATCACAATGCACAGGTTGAATCTGCTCATTGATAGAAATAATGGAATAATCCAGGAGGTGGAACTGTCACTGAAGACTGACCATCAGAGACAGTGACATGTTTTTATGATGTGTTTCACATATGACAAAGTGCTGCAGACATTTACAACTGTACAAAATTGCTGCGTGAATTGCAGTAGCCACATGAATTGCCCCATATTAAGATTCCCCTAGAAGAGATGGATTTAATTTGAACAGCTGATGACCATCCAGGCTATCCATAGGCTTGTTGAGCGAGTAGATCTGTGTTAACAATAGTTAGTAAGGTATTTTTAAAAAGAAAAAAGATCAGCTAACCCTGTAATGATCTATTGTAGTAAAAAAACTACCATCAAGTGTATGGCTTCCCATTTGTTTGCAGTAATATTTCCCTCCTGGTGAGATCTGCAGCAGAGATTTCCTGGTTGATGGTCTAAGTGACAGAAAGTGGTCCCAGACATCTCTTCCTCATGTCTTGTGCATATAACATGCCATTCTGAAGAATCTTATTGGGCATTCTGTCACAGTTTTATTCATGTATTTACCTTTTATCAGTGCAAATACTGTAAACACAGGAGAACTAAATAAAGACAGCTTACACTGAAAAAGCTTACACTAATATTACGAGTCAAGCAAAACAATTATACCGCTACCCAATTTTACTATAAAACCATCTAGGATACACATAGTTATCTGCCTAACTAGGTGAGGTAATTGGAATTCTATCACAGAAATGCCACTGTATAGAATTTTCATATACTGTAGATAGCAATGATTTTAATTAAAATTCGAAAGCCCCTTTTAATTAAGCAATCCCCTAATTAATGAATAAATTAATCAACGCTTTAAAGCAATAATAAAGTATCTACTATGAAATTTATTGACTTTACATTAAATTCCCAATCATACGTTCACAGTACATGAAGTCTGGGCCTGAAAATTAGTAAAAAGGTTTAGTCCCTTAAGACTACCATCTTGAAATATATATATCTAGAACCTGGATATCTGTGTCACTGTTCAGAGATGGCTAATTTACAGAGTGAAACAGCTGTATGTAGTTTGTTTGACTTTACATGCAAAAGGGCAGAATGAGAATTTGGTAGATAATTCTGTAATTAATATTCACAGACATAAATCATACCCAAATTTAGAAGGATGTGCCTTCTATGATATAGATCTTTCAGTCTATAATGTACATACTGTAGATTTTGCAGATTCTTTCATACTCACTTGAGTATACTGTATATATTTTTGTGTGAGCCTAAGACTTGGATCTGAGATTATTGGTCTTGATTTCTCTGTGAGGAAAAATAGGGAAAACAGCTCATACATTTACTGCATTGTGTATATTTCACAGTACAAGCTTGTAAATCTAATTCCTGGCCATGGAGTACTGTTGATCTTGGATAAGACCAGAACTCTGAGTATAAACTATGAAGAGCAGTCTGGAAAGTGGCACTGCTAGTACAAATTAAGTTTACTTCACTACAGCTAGCTTTGAATATAAATATTGCCTGTAAATATACTGTATCACCAACACATCCACGTTGTTGTAGTCCAGCACAGGCATTTTTAAAATGGTTATTTCATGACATATACTGTATAGACAAGTACACTTTAGAATCAGAATCATTAAATTATCTTTAACAGCTTTGTATGGATTTAGCACAGTGGGCTGATCTGTATACAGTATGTCTGGCAAACACAAATTAGTAAAAAAAAAGTCTTAATCATAATAAATGGCAAGTTTTCAAAATCACTGAATAAAAATAGCATGCATGTTGTCTCCATGATCTACTAATCCTCTGTAGTCTACTATTTTTTTGCCCTGCAAAGCAGAATGTTTTTGGGATTTTACAGCAAGGTAATAAAGACTCAAATCAGATACTGTACCTCAAAGGAGCATGTCTCCAATAAAAGTGACTAAATTTAATACATTAGTTTCACATTCAGCATAATGAATACAAAAAATCAAGCTCTTGCAAGCCCTCTGAGTTCAGACCTGGTTATGAAATATCATGAATGATATTTTATCATAATAAATTGTATGAAGGTTTAACAGTATAAATTGGCATTAATTACAGTTTTCTTACAGCTTCATAATGGATTCCCCCCAGTTTTTCTTTATCATATCGCTTCCCTGACGATTTTGTCCATGATTTACAATACTCACAACGATAGAGTACCACTGAAAATATAATGCACAAATAGGGGGAGGGAATATTTCTTGTTCTTCTATATTATGGTCTTTTATATTATACTGTTGATTTTGATGTTTAAAAAGGATAGCCTATACCAAACAAAAATGATACATAAACTAGATCAACACAATTTATGAATGGACAGTATCTTGCTCTTAAAATCTGCCTTTTATTTTTCCAGATCTCCATTTCATATGAGCATATTAATCTTCCTTTTATGAAATCCAGACAACTGAAGCTAGGAATCAGTCTTCATGTTTGAACCCTTGACCTTTCACATTTAGTGGGCTGTGTTAGAAAACGACTTGCCACAACCTCGCTATTTCTGCAGGCACACTGTCTTGACAGCATCTACTATGTTTTATTTTCACAGCTGTAAAACTGTAAAAAAAAGGTACTGTTTCCCAGCGAGTCTACACAAAGGTGCGTCTTGGAATATATTCAAATGCTGGGAAACAATGTGTAATTGCTTTTTATTTATTTTGTAAACCACACCAATTCACGCATAATAAAAAGTTGTTTTACAGATGCAAACATATAATAATAAAGTCATAATACGCTAATAGCATCTAAATATAGCTGTCTCCAATTGGGTATCAGCATAGTATACACTGTACTTTCCTTCTTCTGTTGCTGATAATTTCTGTGTGGTTTAGGGCACAACTTTAGAGGATTTTGTTCCATAGTTCGCTACAAACCACCAAAGCCATGCTTGGTTCAAAAACGGAAACCTGACTGAAGTGTGGTTTCTAGTCTTTACTGCTTTTCTTTTCTTCTATCTCATTTCACAGTGCACCAAAAGGGCAACCTCAAATTAGATAGCAACATGAAGAAAAGGCTAATAATAAAAACAGGAAATATTCACCCAGTATACAGAATGAAACAATAAACAACAATATAATGATGAAAACCAAAATGTAAAGTACAAAAATGTCTACGTCCCTGTACTGTGAAGAAATATCTCTTGCATCGGCTTTACATCCTTAACAGGATTTTGTTTGCGCTTTTACCGAAACCATTCTGCTCTCGTAAACATGAACATGCTGAAAATCCACCCCATGTCTTTCTCATAAGCAATTAATTGAATTAATGATATCAAATGTATATTGTCTCCTTACAAAATTGATATGTTCTTGTTCTAAACTTCCAGAAGCAAATCTGAGCAAACACAATACTAGGAAGAAGGGTGCAAACTGGATAATCAGACAAGTCTGGGATGTGTATTTGTAAAGTATTTTATTGTACATTATTTGAAATGTGTTTTTTTTTTCAAAAACTGAACTTAAATGAGAAGCTCTGTTCCTCACAACATGCAATAATGAGTCAAATTAAAATATAATATCCTCACTTTTTTAATATGACAGTAGAAGCAGCAGTGTAAAGTAATGCTTAGGGCTCTGGACTCGTAACTCTAAGGCTGTGTGTTCAGATCCTAGATACGAGCTACTGTTATACCCTTGAGCAAGGTGCTTTATCCCGATTGCTCCAGTGAAATACCCATCTGTGTAAATGGGTACAAATGGAAGCTGATTAGGATAAAAGCATCAGCCAAATGAACAACAATTCCACATTGTTTCAGGTATCTATCTTTCTTCCACATTGAGAGGTTTGCCGTTAATGCAAATAAAAGCCGCTCTCACTGTACAAGTCTGTGTATCTGCAATTCAGGTGCAGAAGAGCAACCGTTTGATTTTATATTCAGGTGAATACCACATCTCTCTATTCTTTACGCATTTAACCCCTTATCACATCGAGCACTCAATCAAACCGCATACAATGACGTAACTTGCAAACAGGTTCATATTATAAGGAACAACCCCTAACCCAGCCCCACTACTAATAAACCCAGCCCTTTTGTTTCACCTCCTCGTTTCAATAAGAGCCACATGGAGAAAACAAGGGCTTACCAGCTCCACAGACCCATAGTGTTTTCTGCTGAATTCCCCCCGCCTGCAGCCCAGATCTTCAGAGGCAGAGCTGCAACAGAAACGCTTCATCAGTACGGTACATAGCTAGCAGCAATGAGCATTGCTCGGGAATCAACCACCAGTCACCATTCACCCTAATGAGAGCAAATCATTTTCATTGCAGTCCAAAAAAAAAAAACAAAAACAAGGAGACTATCTTCGGAGTGCTACCATCCCAGGCACGTATCCTCCGGCAGAATCCTCCGCTGGGATGAGTCTGCATTCAAATCACCCTGGGCTGCAGCTGAAATGCCCCGGCTCTTTTTGGAAGGGAGGCCATGATTAAATTAAATATTAAGTCATTATGTGATCGATGGCAGTCTGCAGGCCAGAGCAGGTTAGTAATTGCATTTGAGGTCCTTCTGAAGCAGTCAGGGAGAGACAGACCCTGCCACTAGCTTGTCCTGCAGATACAATAAAATCTACCACCACCCCCAAATCAAAGCTTTAAATATTTCTTTTTTCAGCAATATATTATTATGTTATTAAAGCACATCCCCTTTCACAACGTCTATCCAGCTTTTATGAGAAATGCTCAGTTGCATTAAACTATTAGGCACGCAAGCTGATATTTCTCTGTACAATGCAGCATGCATGCAGCAGAATCTACAATCACACAGTGACATCATGACACTGAATGAGACCAATTCAAAATATGTACTTTTTATGTTACTACACGTATTTCATGCATGTTTGAAGTAATGTAATCAATGGAAACAATCATTTTCTCATCAACATACTGTAGCATGGGTTGATTCCTTCCATATTCCACAGTTTTCAGTTTGTATAGGGTTATTTTATATATTTGCGAGCACAAACAATATCTTTGACATATTATTCAGCTGCAGTTATGATACATGATCTAAATTAATTCATTTCTAAAATGTTTGATCCTCAGCTCATCAAGAAGAACACGTTTCAAATAGCAAATAACAAACTGATGTGAACAAAAGGGCATGTTTTTTCTTTTCAATCTGAGATTTTTTTCTTACCCCTGACAAGATGCCTGTGCCTCAGTAAATTTGATGAAATTTTAACTGCATTGTCATTTGCATGCATGGCTTATTATTTCAATGAAACACTACATATCTGATACTAAACCTCTTCCTGACAGATAACAGGACTGCAGGAAGGATTAATGTTTCTTTATGTTTATTTCTATTTATGAACACTAAAAACCTTATAAAATGCATGTAGAGGTAGCTTTAATATGTATTGGAATGCTCTCCCTTGTATACAGGAAAACAGCATACTCTAGAGTCTGTTCTGGTTTGCCAGTTCAAAATCTAGCTTGGAGCTATAATGTTAAATTTAAATACCACTCTTTCACTGTAGTGTGTCAGTGATCTTGTAAATGCTTGTCTTACAGTAGCTAGACTACACCTCAGTATGTTACTCAATTCAACCTTAACTGCATTTTGAATTGATGATTTAATAACAGGAATGTACAACACAAACGTCTTACAGTCAATCAAGTTTAATTTTCTCTTTCTTTCAGTCAACCATCTTATGTACCCTCAAAGTCCTGTGAATAAAATCACTAACTACTGGGTTTTGGTTTCTAGACCCTAATGATCAATGACAAGTAGTTTACCAGCGCCATTCTAAGTATTTAATAAAAGAACATCACAGCATAGCTTACTATGCAGTTTGAAACAGAATTATTATACTTTGTAGAATTTGTGCAGCTGCATAATTGTTAAAGAGCAAAGATCAACATTGATTGTATGGTGCACGGAATCTTTAGATCACATGGAACAAAAGAAACAATCCCACAAACCTTATTATTCTGGCTTAATAAGTATTTTTAATAAGACAAAAATAATATTGTTAGCATTTTCCATATTACCCATAGAAAAATGTGACATTTTCTTGGAATTGCATTGAAAGCTTCAAAAAGGTTTCATGTTTTTTTTAATAATATACAAATGCACAGAAGCACAATAATATTACACTATTTTCATGGTATACAGTACATGACTGTCAGTCTCCTGTGTTCTTTTATTAGACAAGCAGACATGTGAGTCCCCAGTAGCCCAATACTGGCATGTTCTGTAATGTACAAACTTAGCAGTGTATTCAGGGAAATCCGGACACACAAAATTGCCTTTTTCTAGACTCTACCACAGGGATCCTTCTATCTTTTGTAAAGTGAGTAATTGAATAGAGTTGATTTTCCTTAGGATGTCATAGCAACTACATATAGAGCAGGCCACCAGCATAGCTCGGCAGATTTCACCCTTGTTGAAATTCTCAGCGAGATCCTCTGATCAGGCCGGTTATAGTCAAAGACAATATAAGAGCACATTTTTGTCCCCATTATCACGCGGGTTTAAGAAATGGAATATGGAAATCTAAATGACAGGAGTTAATATAATAATGGCTGTAACCCCTATTCTTAAAAGGTGACAACAGTACTAGAAAAAAACAAGACAGTGGAATGTTTTAAATGAACTTTTCTGAGACAACATTTGGTTAGCAATACAATATCTGTGTACCATTTGCTAATGATGAGAAAATGTAATACATGAGGCAAATATTGATCCAATTCACAGGAAGATTTTGTTGAAAGCAATGATAAATTGATAATCAAAAACATGTTTAAAAAGAATAAACCTGAAAATTTGTACAACCCCATTACTTTTGAAGGGTATCTGAGTTGGTGTTAATAAGTATAGATGTCAACATACTGTATAATACTCATTGTGGTCTTCTTAAGTGATATTTTTTTACTAATAAACTCTACTTTCTGGATAAGGACATGTTTGTCCTGAAAATTAGGCACTAATAGAATAATTTGTGGGAGTCTGGAATAAACTGCCCCACCAGATTTTTAAACCTCTCTCTGGGATCATTCAAGAAATGGGATTCTGGGGTCAATTAGCATCTAGCAACCAAACTGTTAGGTACAAGGGTGAGTCAAAGTCAAAAAATGAATTGGCAGTTGACCTTGCTTCATGAGGCAAAAAGACTTTTATTTTTCAAGACAGTGTGATTGCATATCCACACACCTCTGCCAGTGAACCAAGAGGTTATGGGCAACCTTGAATAAAAATCGTCTGTCGCTGAACTACCTCTTTACTGCCAGTTAGACTTGAGCAACATCACTGGAGCTCTAGCCTCCAAGATACAATCAGATTAAATGCCAGCAAAGCAAGGTCAAGACTATAAGGTGGGTGGGACAACAGTTCCTGAATGCACTGTACTGTAGCCCATGCTGTCAGTGAGCTTGCATTTTCATATGGCAGAAACCATGACTGTCCCATATTGATTTATGCACACTGCTGACATCAATTACATTCACAGAAGTGAGGAGTACAGTATGTTCCACTTGTAACTATTCCACGTTTCACATCGAAATGCGTGCAAAGAACAGTCTTCTAGTGCCATAATATTATTTCAGTGTTCCTGGTGCTTAGACATTAGCTTTCATGTTTGTTTGTGGTGGTGACAAAAATCTTTTTGCTTTCTATCAATGGAGAAGACTTGCGTAGTCACACTCCAATTTGTACTGTATATGCTCATAGTTGATCATTTATAAAAATAACTTGGCATACACCTGGCAAAATCCAGACTTTCTTAGATAATGATTCATACTCTAGCACAAGACACATCTATAATGTCTACTATAGTACTATACTGTATGTGGTCAGTTGATTCAAACCAATCCTATCCTGGCCATATTATTCTGCATGGCAACAGACAATGGTTACCCAGTGTCTCACACACTCACACAATTCCTCACACACTCTTCTCTGTCCTTTTCAGAACTTTTCTTTTTTCTGCATTGATTCACAACAGGCAGCATGTACCATATTGTGCAGACATTCTCTTATGAATGCCATCTGGTTTAACATCTTTGCCAAGCAAAAACGGGTGACTCCTTGTTGCTCCATAGCTGTGCAGTGTTTTAGTGGAACAGCCATATTTACAGAAAGACCATTAGCGCCATGCTGTACATATTGTAGGGAAGTCAGGTGTTAAGTGGTCAGCAAATGACTCACACTTGCCACTTGAACGTTCTAGATAATAATGTTGTTGTTGTATGTAATTGACTGTATTTAGAGAATTAACATGGTAAAATAGTGTGCAGCAGCTGAACACAGTGCACATGTGGTTCTGACCCAAAATTAATCAAGCGATGTGATTTCACAATAGTTAGTACCTTGCTGATTCCCAACTGTGCCCCAGCTTTGAGGATACACAACATACACTTGAGATTCCTGAGCTATTGGTTCATCCTCAACAAGTATTAAAAAAAATGGCTGTTTCTCATTCATTACTACAAAGAAAAGAAAAATACCACAGCTGGGCATCTTGCAATATATTACAATAACAGCTTGATCATACCACTGGTGCACAATTGAAATTTGAGAAATTATTTCAGTTTCATATGTCTCATCCATGCATTGTTTTATAACTTGGTCATCACGGGTTCTCATGATTTATTCCTATACAACAGTCACACACAGAAAGAAAATGGTAATAAAAATAATAAAAAGTTTACTCCTTAACCTCAATATGATGAATCAGATGTATTATAGGACAATTACAATTAATATTAAATATAGGACAATGACATGTATTGACAAGTAGGCCATCTGTACCAGTTTCATTCATCTGACTTAATTTACATATTATTTTACTACAGAATATTAGTTAGTGCTCATAAAAGGCTTTTGTTGAATGAGCATTACTAATGCAATGGTGCTACCAGTTCAGTTCTGGTGCATTTCTTCAGTGTTGTATCTACTGCACTCAACAGATTAGCTATAAGACACTTCATTTATTTATAAACTGAAGTAACAGATGTGTCATTGTATTAGTATAAGGCATTTATCAATAATGGTTTTAAGCAAACAGTTATTTAAAGCATACTTGTCAGATAGCTGAACCTGCAAACATAATTTGTATAATCAGGAGCAAACAGAATGGAAGAAACAAAAATATTGTGGCATACTCTGCTTGTTACGGATATTTCTAAGAATATATATTCCAATGAACCACTAA